GTCCGTAGCTCACCGGGCAGCGTCACACCATCACCACGATTAGCTCAAGGGAGCTTCGATGGCAGAAGTGTTCACACTCTGACATTTCAGAACGTGACGTACAAAGTGGCCGTGAAGAACACGAGGAGCGATGGAGGAAAGACACAGAAGGAGTTGTTGAAGAACGTCAGTGGCGAGGCTCGTTCTGGGGAAATCTTGGCCATCGTGGGTCCATCGGGAGCGGGAAAGTCCGCACTCCTGGATGCACTTGCTGGTCGGATCGCGGCCTCTGCCTCAAGTCTTGAGGGCCTTATTCTTGTCAATGGAAGGCCTATGGACAGCAAGCAGTTGCGCAAGCTTTCTGCCTACGTTGCGCAAGATGATGCCCTGTTTGCCTATCTCACAGTCAAAGAGACGTTGCTGTTCAGCGCTCGTCTCCGCCTTCCGGCGGACATGCCGATCGACGACAAAGTGGCGCGCGTTGACATGCTTATTGCCACATTGGGACTAAGTCCACGTGCTAACACACGGATAGGCAACGAGCAACTGCGGGGTCTATCGGAGGGAGAGAGGAGGCTGGTCTCCATCGCTGTGGAACTGCTGCATGACCCGGCCGTTCTGTTCCTGGACCAGCCGACGTCTGGACTGGACAGTACGTCGGCACTAAACCTGGTCCAGAACTTGTACCAGATGGCAACCCAACCCCACCGCCCGCGGACCATCTTGATGACCTGTCATCACCGGCCAAGCCACTTTCCGATGATCCTGGATCTCATCCACAAGATCATGATCCTGTCACGTGGCTCCTTAGTGTACAGCGGTACTTATCCTGACCTCTCGATCTTTCTGGACCACTACGGCAGACGGGTCCCCCCGCATGTCAACGCGATGGAATTCGCCCTCGATATCATCGACGAACTGCAGGAGTCGGCGCAGGCTGTTGCCGCCCTAGCGGACTTCAACTCTGCTAGATCCAAACTACAGCCGTCGTTATCCTGTCTGAGCAATATAGGTCAGATGTCAGAGGACCTGGACGCGGGCTTCGCCACAGGTCCAGTGATCGAGACCTTGACCCTCTGCCACCGCAATGTCATAACCATATCTCGAACGCCGGAGTTGTTCGCCTCTGCGCTAGGACTGATGATCGTCACAGCAGTGGTTCTGGGCTCACTATTCTACGGCGACTTGGACAAGGACGAGAGTGGTAAGTTCCGCCGGAGTACCTTCTTTGCCTTCATTTGTGCGCTTCTGTCCTTCACCGCCATTCACTCTCTGCCCATGTTCTTGCTTAAGAGGAACGTCTTTGTCCGCGAGACGAGCAGAGGAGCTTATCGCACCTCGTCGTACGTCCTAGCCACCGGCCTCGTTTTCCTCCCCTTCTTCTTCATCCAGTGCTTGCTGTTGAGTCTTGTCGCTTACCTCGTGGTCGGTCTTGTTCGTGATCCTTGTACTTTTTTCCTTTTGGGTACCACCATGTTCCTTACCATCACCGTCGGCAATGCCTTCGTCAGGATCATCACCTCCTTGGGGTCTCTCATTCCCAACTTCGTCGCCTGCAATACCATCATCACTGCGATCACCGGATTCATGTTCCTCTTCTCCGGTTTCCTCGTGCCTAAGGACGATTTCCCCAACTACTGGATTTGGTTCCGCTACGTCTTTAGGGCATTCAGGATGGAATACACTTTTACCGGATTCAAGTACCTGGTCAAATTGTTGCTGAAGAAGGAATACACTCGCGTGGACAATTTTTGGCAAGACGGGACCTCCGGCAGCCACGTGGCCCGGCAAAGGTTTCGCTTTTGGGGGGATGTGAGCGTCAGGATCGACCTTGCGTTAATTGCAGGGATGGTGCTTGTCTATAGGATACTCTTCTATGTTGGTCTTTGTGTGAGGAGCTCCAGTATGCGTAAGTAGTGGATTTTTTAATGTTTTGGGGGGNAAGGGAAGTAAAGTAGAGTTTCAGAAGCTAGATTCACACCTCCTTTTTTGTTGTCGTTCCTTTTCTTTCCCCTGGGGACGAGGGGGGGGAAGCAGTGGTGGGCTTTCCCCTCTGGTGGTGTACATTGGATCCCATCTTTGGAATGTATGAGACGGCATAGTATTTGAGGTGGGTGATAGGAGCATCCTCGAATAGCAGAGTAGTCCCTCAGGAGTGATGACTCCAATCTATTAGTAGGGAGCAGCACCTGCTGCCAAAGGGGTCCAGCATCCCTGTTAGCAGATGAAACAAGGCATGAGATGGAGAGGGGGATAAGCAGTGATTTCCCTTTTCCTCCTCCTTTTTTTCTTTCCATTGGCCATTACCTGACCACGGATGTGGAGATGAAGAAGGAGAAAAGCATTGACTGCCCTTTTGCTAGGGGATTAGCTGATCCTTCTGGCCCTGGACAAAACCCACTCCTTGCATTGACTAGATTGCTAGTAGTTGCAAGGGGGCAAGGGGGCAAGGGGGCAATTACGGCTCTAGCAAGGGCAAAACCACAAGAGGACCTTTATTGGGGTAGTGCTCGTATCACTTCCAATAGCAATAATCCGCATCCTGCCACGATTTTTTATTCTTCAAAAGACCATTATAGATTTTAACATGCTAACCTTTGCATACAAGCGGGGCATTCAGGACGCTTTCCCCGTGAGCATTCTTAGGCCCCCCTTAAGATTAACACTGTACGGAAGCTAACAAACGAAAAGTATTGTAAATTTGTAACCATACCATCCCGGCTTCTTTTTTTTTTTTTTTTTTTTTTTTTGGTGACCATACCATTCCCGTCTTACTAGTGAATGTAAAAAGAACGTTTTTTTAAACATCCTTGAACCACCAGTACCCTGGGGTCTGGAGGTGATCCAGTGTGCACCAAGCTTCGCCAAGCCGCTAGCAGCGCACTTCTGTTCCTTCGCACTTCTGTTCCTTTTTGGCTGGTGCCGTCAGCCATCGTGGTGCGGTACCCGAGGCCCGAAGCACGGAGTTTTTGGAGTAGGTGACGAAACATTTTCTGCAAGGCTGAGGCAGTGTGGGGGTTTAAACCACCAGTACGTTTCCCAGCCATTGTTCAGAGTCGCGGGGTGAATGCAGACACGGGGCCCCATTTCGCTGGATATCCAGCCAGGCAAAATGGGCCTTGCATGCGACCCATTTTATCCAGAGAAACGCCCTGGCACTTCCCAAGAGTCGCTGCTGCGTGGCTGAAAAAAATGGCTCAGTACCCGTTTTGCTGGATATCCATCCAGGCCCGTTTTAAAAATGGCTCAGTACCCGTTTTGCTGGATATCCATCCAGGCAAAACGGGCCTTGCATGCGACCCATTTTATCCCAGAGAATCGCCCTGGCACTTCCCAAGAGTCGCTGCTGCATGCACGCCGCGACTCTGAAAAAAAGACTGCGGAAATGTACTGCTGGTTTCAGGCTCTGATCAAACGGCTGTGCGGGCGGGTTCTGGACTCCAGAAGGAGCTGGGCAACAATGCTCGGCCGAGAGAGAGGGAGGGAGTAGGGGTGGGGTGGGCAAGGCGGAGGGGAGCGGCTATCTTCTCGTGCAACTTTGATCGAGAGGAGGAGTCCTCCGGAGTTGTCTGCTGCATTACGAGAACGAAGTTAGGGGACTGGCAGGGTGTTGAATAGTGTCTGAGCCTTTTTCTCCAATTTTCCCATACCAGACTGAGATAATTATTCTGGTCCAGATCACAGAGTCCTCTATTTGGAGTCTAGGGCCATCAAGCCAGATTGCCTCAAATGAGCAAATCAGGTTTTTCAATTTTTTCTTCCTAGTGGGTATATGATTCTTTCTGAAGGTCAGTCTTCAGTGCTTTACAGAACTTGTGTATTTTGGCTATTATGATAGAATCTGCAATCTCTTTTTTGTCCTGCACAAACCCATAAGTGTGCTCTTTCCTGTCAGACTGTCATTAACGCCGCCAGTCTAGCTATTTTAAACTTGAACTGGTTATCTGCAAGGGGTGACCACTCCTGTTGCGGGTCCGGACCGTCTGGAGGATCCCCTAACAGAAATGTCTGCGCACGCGCACTCCAAGGGAGACTCCATAGTAGTGTGAGAAGGTTCCACACTGCATCACATCTCCTTGGCCCCTCCAGATCTGAGTTGCCGTGGGAGTTCTCAGAAGGCAGTGCTCCATTTGGCCCGGCATTCAGGGATGAGATGGCACTGTAGGAGCACATAGGGGAGATCCGTCCTTGCTTCCTGTTCGAGAAGTGAGCGAGACACAGGGACCCAGGGACCATCTGTTTCCAGGAGGTGCTGTTTTCCATGCCCCTTGTCTTCTTCTTCTTTTTTTTTTATAGAAACATCGATGACGGGGTGTAGGGGAGGTGCTGATAAGAGCAGACACCCCCTCTACTATCCCTGCGTGTTGGATGGCTCCGTTCCATTGGTGGGGAGCTGCACTAGCTGGAAAACGGGTCCAGCGTCCCCTTACATCATAACAAGGAGCCAGGTGATGTGTTATACATGCCATTATGTCAAGTTATATATGATGAGCAGCATTGATTGCCCTCTTCGCAAGGGGATTGACTGCCCATCTATCTCAGAGGTGGACTAATACCAATATTCAATTGCTATCAAATGTATAATCTAAGTCTACTGCACCAACATATTGGAGGGGTTGTATACTGTTGGTTTTCGAATGATCGGGCTATTGCTGACATTTTTCCAATGTCCTTATCGTGTCCCCTTTCCTCTCTTCTTTTTGCAATGAGGACAGAATCCCATGAAGAATTTGTTTCCATTCCCTTTATGTGTGTGAAGCTCTCAGCTCTGTTTCCTGTGCCTTAGCTCATGAGTGCGGCTCTTTGACTTTTCTAAGTCCAATTTGTGAATTCGCGTATCGCATTGTTTCTTCTGAAATTCTTTTCCATTCTTCCTCTTTCTCTTTTTTTTTAACATCCACCAGGGCTGCTAGTGGGGTTGATGCGAGCAGCCTGCACTAGCAGGACCTCGGTAGATGGCTCCAGTCTGTTGGTGGGTAGCAACATCTGCAGGAAAATGGGTCCCGCGTCTCATTAAGACCATTTGCAGAAAATAAGCTTTTTCATTCTTCTTTTTCTGATGTTTAGAGGGGTGTTTCTTGGGACACTTGGCCCGGTTCCCAGCACGTGCTGCTCCTCATGAATAGACTGGGACCTTCTCGATGGTGTGCCATGCACTGTCTAGGGTTAAGTCTGGACAACACGGGGATCGGTGGGATGCATTATTTCAAATAACGAAGGAGAGAGAGAATTTTACATATCAGAATAGAGGCACTGCCCAACTTCTCTCTTGGTGGTGCGCCTGGCGAGCCTTCCATTGCCTTTTTCATTTTGCATCTTCTTGAATTCTCGTTTCTTTGTGCGAATTCTTGCTGCATCTTGTGTCTACTCTTGGCGCCTTTACCCTTATCATTGGCTGCAGGTTTAGATGCGAGTCACTGAGTACACAGTGATCACCTGGAGCCGTACGCCGTGGGTGTCCTGGAATATGAGACCACCTCCCATCCCATCCTCACGTCAATACTCCTAGCGCACCCCCTATCCCACTATCCCACCTCATTGTGACCAGCACTCAGGACCATTACCCTACCAATGGGCAGGTAACTTGGACCGAACAGCAGTGATAGGCACCAGGGCTGATAGGTTGCCCAGCCCTGGTGGAAGCGGAATCGGACGAGCCTTGTCGAACGGAAACTTCGGACGCCAGGCCCAGACAATCTACTACAGGCCTCAAGAGACTCTGGGCCCTAGGTTTCAGACAGGGTAGCACCCATTGAAGCAGTCTTACGGTCCTTACCCAAGGCCAGGCGGAACTCAGACTCCCCTGAGCGACTTATACCCCTACCCTTACCCCAGGGTCTAAGCCTTATATATAGCCACTAGACAGTTCTATCCGAATATCGGTAGGAACTTCGGTGGCTTATACGTCTCCCTAATGCAGATACTAGACCCCACCCAGTGACTAGACCCCCCCAGTCTGATAGTTGTGTAGTTTGCAATGTATGTGTATACCCGAAGGCTGTGTATGCTCCGTCTATCTATGTATCAAGATGTACAGACCGCACTATGTGTGGAAACTTGTGTATGTAGCCCATAGGCCATGTGTAATTTGCAAGCTATGTATATGCCCAAAGGCTGTGTGTGCTCTGTGAATCAATGTATAGAGATGTATAGGCAGCATCATGTGTGTATATCGAAGAGAGAACGGGGTAAGCTGGACAAGGAACCCCCCAAGGTCTGAACCAAGCTCGAACCTGTGACCTTGTAACATATGATCGTACGACTCTACCATGTGAACGACTAGTGGAAATGGCACGAACATGTGATATGCCAGACTGGGGAGATCAACAGAACAGCCAAGACCAACACCCCCAAGCAACCCATGTGAAACCCAGAACCAACATACAACACCATGAACAACCCAACCCTTGGGTGGTGTGCAGGCAGTGTCTGTAATAGTACCATGCATGCGTCAGCCCAAGGGAGTGTATGTCCAGCCGTGCGTCAATCTAACGCCCTGCCGGTGTCCATGCACAAGGTTGCAATTGAGTTTTGAACCCGCAACCTCATACCACAATGCGCATTTCCAACCGGTGCTCTAACCACCGAGCCACATCAACTGGACTACAGTCTAAGTTTCTGGCAGACGAGCAATCTGAGGTTTGTGGGGTCGAACTGTCAAGTTTTTACCAACTTCTTGGAAGCTCAAAATTGAATATATGAGTTTTAGATATGCATATATTTAGTAACATAAGAGACATGACTTCCAGCGCATCCGAGGTTTATAATGGCAGTTCGTGCGATATCAGGGAGAATGCAGCAGTGTGTGTTCTTTTTGCATTTTCTTTTCATTTTGCTTTCTTATCACCTTCCTGGCTGCTCACCATCTGTCTGCCTCATCAAAGCCCTTCTCGACTTTATGTGCCGACGGATCTTAAAAGTAAATGAAAGAAACGAGGAGGTTGTCTGGGTTCCCTGTGCTCTGCTTT